GCCGACGGGCTCGCATCGTTCCTCGATCAGGACTCCTGGGAGTCGATAGGGATCGTTTTCGCGATATCCGACGAACGATCGAAGGCATTATCGCGCTTTTTCGCGCTTCGTAATGGCCACTTGTTGATCGCGCGTCGTTGCGAGCGGCAACGTCGCGCGACGAGAACCGTCCGTGTTGTGGTGTCGAGAGCAGGCTCGTCGTCGTACTGTCATGTTTCACTGAATAAAACCATCGGAAAAAGGCGGAAAAACGTTGGTGAAGGCGAACCAGTGGAAAATCGAGGAGCCGGTGGATGTGGACAGTGGAAAATTCGGTGAGTACGGGCCGAGGGATGGTCGGGAAGCGGGTTTGTGCGTTTGCCATTTTCGCCTCGGGAGTTTCAGAAAAGAGGCACGTTGAGTTCGGGTGGCGTCCTCGCTGTCGGCGTCGGTGGGTGCGCGCGCAGACGCCCGTACACGGGATACTGGAACTGGACGGAGCGCGTCTCCGTCTTTGGGGGAGAGCTGGGCAATTTTTTTTTTTCGAAAAGTTTCGGCTATGTGTAAGGTAGACTGGGGCAAATCGGTTGTAAAATTTGAATTGTTCAAATTAAATCCTAAAATGTGGCTTTATTTTTTCTCTTATTAGAAATGCTGATGCCACATTAAATTCACAACTTCCTAAACTAAAGAATCGAGGTATTAAAAAGTTTTTTTTTGAGAAAGGAAGAAAACGATTTTACATATTTTTTAAAATGTTGACAATATTGACGTACCATAGGGTAAATGTAACAAACGGTTCTAAAGTACAATACAATTATATAGAAAAACATATGGAGCAATTGTAAACAAATATTTGGTTCCTCTAAATATGCTGTTTATTTATTTATTTCAAAAAATAACAGAACTACAAATAATAAAGAAAAAATAAGAAACAAACCCTGTCTAATGCACAAAAGAACTATAAAAATAATAAAAACATTAACATAATGGGTAAAAATATTACATTTACCCCATTTTTACATTTGTCCAGTCTACCTTATCCAAATTTAATGGGGAAAGATATTTTGTAGAATGTTTGTATATGGGTAAGTGCAAATTCTATGAGTTAAACAAAGATTTAATTATTATTACGGTGGTTAGAGTGAGAATGTTGCAATTCCAAATATCACTATTTTGTTTTCTTTCTTCATATAAGAGTAATGAAATTGTCTTTGTTGCACCCATAGACCATATTACGTACAAATTTGCACATATCTGTATATGTTTGATTATTATTGAGGCGTCTGTGGGATAAAGTAGGGTAAATTTTTCAATGTCAAATTGAATTTAATACAATTTTTATTCAGGGATTTTTTAAACAGTTGTTTTAGAGTTTTAAATTATTTTGAAAATTCTTATCAACTCATTTTTAAACTTTTTTTTAATACATTATTAAGTTTTTATTGACAATCACATCATATTTTACAATAATTTATAATTTTTAATTACGAGTATTTTTTGCCCCGATTACCCTACTCTTCTATCGGTCTCCGTAGATTGTTATGGGTACGTAAAATTCGTTCGTCAGATAGGAAATAGACTGTCGTTTTCGAATTCGTCGAGTTTTATCACTTATTCGAGCTCGAGAGAGTGGGACTTGCGTTTTTTTTTGTCGTGTTTTGGTTTCGGTTTTTCGCGGGCTAAACAACAATGATCAGGGACGGACTCGATTTTTTTTCTTGCTATTTAATACGGTAGATTTTTTTAATTACACGTATTTTTAATTACACTAGAATATTGTTGTTATTTTTTTTATTAATTTGTGATATTGGACTTGTCAAATATTAGCCAGATTATTTTTTATATATATTATCAATTTTTGATTTAATGAGATGTACCTAACATTATACAATATTCTTGGGTTATTTCATATAATTCTTTCACAAATAAATATTAGCAAGATACACAAATTACCAAAAATAATAAAAAACTTAGTACCTCTATTCTATTCATAATTAAATATGTATTTCATTATATACAAAAAATATTATTCACTCATGTTCATTCAAGTATAAATTTTTCGAAATTATATCAATTCTATTAACACTGAAAGGCGAAATTGTACAACAAAAAAGTCCATCTATTTCCAATTAGTCATACATTCTGTACAGGCAAATTGCAGAAGAAACCTCACGACTTTTGTGCTATTTCAAACCCATTAAACCTTTTGGTATAAAATTAACCCATAATGGGTTAATAAACATCGTGCCTTCTTGCTTAATTTCAACTATCTAATACCACAATATATCTACAGTATACCTATAGAGAAATTTGAATTTCCTTATTATAAATATTACAAAATCTTTTTCGCCAATTGATGAAAAATTTCGAACATTTCCCGAAAGGGAAATCGTCTTCGAAATCGTAAAATTAGCAAGATCCTGTAGGTAAATCTTGGAAACTAATACGAAACGGGTCTATCTGCAACTAATCTTGAACAAATTGAATTTGCTAGATTGCTCTTGCTCGATAAAATATACATTTACCCAGTACTTGATTCCCCGTGTAATTTCGGGGCGTTATCTCTTCTGTTTTACGTTGCGATTCGACAAATTATATCTAGTTCGTAATTTCGAGTTACATCAGAAAACTATCATTTTTTTAATAACATTTTAAGGGAAATTGAAGAATATAAATAGGTTTTTATATCACACCAACTGAATTCTCTTAAAATGTATTTTATGTAGTTGATGGTGATTGGGGAATCATTTTAAAGTTATTGAATGTTATCCTCTTTTTGTGACATTTTAAGGAAAATTAGAAAATACAGGGTGTCCCAATGAAAAGTAATAATCGTATAATCGAATAATGAATGTAATGAATGAATGAGATATAATGAATAATCGTAAAAACATGCGGTTTTCTCAGATATGTTTTAGTTTATTATAAGTTTTGTTACAGTGATACAGAAATTATGCATTACCAACACCAAGGTGTTTTATATATCAAAATCTCCTGTTTTAAATACACAGTAACCATTTTTTTAATGGAACACCCCGTATATTTTTTGCACTGTTTTTACGCCTATCGTCCGTTCCTCTGATATACCATTGACTTCAAATTCAACTAACAGAGGTACTACATTACTTGAAATCAAATTTGACTAACAGATTGATATATTTTTTTTGCACTGTTTTTATGCCTATCGTCCGTTCCTCTGATACCATTGACTTCAAATTCAACTAACAGAGGAACTATATAACTTGAAAACAAATTTGAATAACAGATTGATATATATTTTTTTGCACTGTTTTTACGCCTATCGTCCGTTCCTCTGATATACCATTGACTTCAAATTCAACTAACAGAGGTACTATATAACTTGAAAACAAATTTGAATAACAGATTGATATATTTTTTGCACTGTTTTTACGCCTATCGTCCGTTCCTCTGATATACCATTGACTTCAAATTCAACTAACAGAGGTACTACATTACTTGAAATCAAATTTGAGTAACAGATTGATATATATTTTTTGCACTGTTTTTATGCCTATCGTCCGTTCCTCTGATATACCATTGACTTCAAATTCAACTAACAGAAGTATTACATTACTTGAAATCAAATTTGAATAACAGATTGATATATATTTTTTTGCACTGTTTTTACGCCTATCGTCCGTTCCTCTGATATACCATTGACTTCAAATTCAACTAACAGAGGTACTACATTACTTGAAATCAAATTTGAATAACAGATTGATATATTTTTTTGCACTGTTTTTACGCCTATCGTCCGTTCCTCTGATATCATTGACTTCAAATTCAACTAACAGAAGTACTACATTACTTGAAATCAAATTTGAATAACAGATTGATATATTTTTTTGCACTGTTTTTATACCTATCGTCCGTTCCTCTGATATCATTGACTTCAAATTCAACTAACAGAAGTACTACATTACTTGAAATCAAATTTGAATAACAGATTGATATATTTTTTTGCACTGTTTTTACGCCTATCGTCCGTTCCTCTGATACCATTGACTTCAAATTCAACTAACAGAGGTACTACATTACTTGAAATCAAATTTGAATAACAGATTGATATATTTTTTTGCACTGTTTTTACCCCTATCGTCCGTTCCTCTGATACCATTGACTTCAAATTCAACAAACAGAGGTACTACATTACTTCCCACACGCTATTCAATCTATTCCCTATAAAGACACCCATTTAGAGCACCGCGACCAAAACAGTACCATCAAACCAACATTCCCCTATCGCTCTACCGGCACCTCTTCCGTACAAGTACAAGTACCAGCACCAATCTCACCAACTGTCCCAATCTCGACCGTCGAACGTCCTCCACCGAGCCGGTACTAAATCAGGCGGCCGCGCGGCGGCGGCCACGCGGTATCCGCCGGTCCGAATGGGTGGGGTAGGGGCGGTCTCGGCGTCGCGGTGGGAGCGAAAGGCGTGCGCGCCGACCCGGCCGCCCAATTTTCGCCTCCCGCTAAAACGCACGCCGGCGACTCCGAAGCGGTGGCTTCGCCGTTTAGTTCCATCGGCATCGCCAGTATCGCGTCGACGACACTCGCGTCAACGTTTCCGCACGATTTGTTGTCCCCCCTCGTTCGTTCACTCACACATATTTTCTATACGATATATACGAATAGGTTTTGTACCACCCGGTTATCGCGGCGGTCCGTTCGCGTTGATTTTTCGCACGTGTTTTTCCGCGTTTTCCGGCACACTCTCTCGATTCGTCGGTTTGTTTTCGTACTGTTTTTTTTTGTTGTTTTCTTAAATGCTGCTCTCAGGACTGCGATGTGCGCGTTAAACTATTCCCATTATTACTACTACTTATTACTGTTGTTTAATTGATATATTTGTGAATTGTGCGTTTTTTTTTTATATATATACATATTAATTAATTAATTTATAGAAGACGTTGCTTTTTTTTTATTATTATTTCTTTCTTAATTGGAACATTACAGACGCCGGGTATTTATTATTATAAATAAATAAATACACGATGCAGCACTCGACGGGTTCTCCCCAGCAATTTTGCCTGCGTTGGAACAACTACCAAACGAATCTAACCAACGTGTTCGATCAATTGTTGCAAAGCGAATCCTTCGTGGACGTCACATTGGCCTGCGACGGGCATTCGGTGAAAGCGCACAAAATGGTACTATCTGCCTGCAGCCCATATTTCCAATCGTTGTTTTTCGAAAACCCCTGCCAGCATCCCATCGTCATAATGCGCGACATCAAATGGCCCGAGCTCAAAGCCGCCGTCGAGTTCATGTACAAGGGCGAGATCAACGTGTCCCAAGAGCAAATCGGGCCGTTACTGAAAGTGGCCGAATCGCTGAAAATCCGCGGCCTGGCCGACGTCAACGGCGAGCAAGAGGGCGGCGAAGTCACCGCCAAACCGACGGTGACCAGCAACGTGGTGAAATCGGAATGGGACCAACGGCCCCAGGACCTGGAGAGCGAGGCGTCCAGGGCGAAGAAGCGCCGCCGGCCGTCGGGGGAGCGCAGCAGCCTGAGCAGCCCGGCGGAGAGCGCGAGTACCGAGGTGCCGGAACCGCCGCCGTCGGTGGATATGTCGCCGGCGCCGCCGGCGGCGGCGGCGACGCCGCAACCCGCCGTCGCCGCGGCGGCCGCCGTCGCGGAGCCGTTGCAGTTGACGTTGCCGCTGCAGGCGCAGCCGGCGTCGTCGAGTTCGGCGGCGGACGACGCCGATATCAGGCCGGGCATCGCCGAGATGATTCGCGAGGAGGAAAGGGTGAGTACCGATTGATTTCTTTTTTTGTGTACCTGTTGTTTTGGATACTTTTGGGGAAACGTGGCAACGCGGTGAGTCCACGTGCCCGGCATCGCCGAAAGGGGTTTATTTTTATTCGGGGAAACACGTGTTCGGCATGTGTTCGAGGCGCTTTCTCCTCGTTTCTGGTCGCGGCTGTGGATGTGTTTCTTTTATGCAGGAATTCATTTTTTTTTTCAACCAAAGATTCATATTAATTTCCACGAATAAAAAGTACCTAAAATCGATTTCTTAATTAAATAAAGCGCAACGTAACCCAATCAAAAATTCAAACAAAAACAAACGACACTTTCTTTTATACTGCTCCACAAAAGTTTACAAATATTGAGATTAATTTAAAAGTTGCAGGTTTTTTGATCGCCAAATTTAATATGAATTGTAGAGGTAGGCGCAAAAAATCCACTCATATATGAGAAAAAAACATTTAATTTCGCAAATTTGAAAATTTGGTGATCAAAAACTCTGTAACTTTTAAAATAATCGCAAAATTTGCGAACTTCCTTAACTTTTGTGGAGCAGTATATTTTGGCATTGACAGTTGTCACATTAATTAAATATTAGCCGGCAAATTCAAGCAATGTCTTAAATAAAGAACAAAAGTATATGACTAGAATAGGTAATTTAATATCCGGGATTCCCAAAATTGATTAATTCCTGCTGTGACATTTCCTCACATATTGAAATTGTCCCAATTTCCCAATATTAGATATCTACTTAATACAAGTTTTATACAAATCTTTCAATAGATACACTAATTTATTAATTCATAAATATTCTAATATGGACATTTTCAAGTACCTATACTTTATACAACCAAATCTATTTTCAGCATTAGTATTCCCACTCACGAATCACTCCTCAATTATTCCTACTTCTTTGGAATTTTTCACCACCTACTTATAAAATATTAAATAATTATTAACATATTTACTCTCGCTAAGTAAACTCGATGCGCGTCTTCTAACATGTTTTTCTCACGACCCTTGATGTTGGGTTTTTATTTTTAAAAAGTTTCTGACAATATTTTCGAGTCACTAAATAGAAGCACTTAAGTTTTATTAATATGTTCGTCGAAGGGGGAATATTCTGGCTTATGCGGGACTATTTTTTTTTATCATCGTTAAGTTCATTTATTTATTTTACAACCCAGGCCATTTTTATCATCAGCCGACGAAAAAAATAATAAAATATTTAATTGCTCGATGAGTTTGCTTGAAATTTTATGAAAATATACGACTACGGTGATTTTTTTTTTCGTTTAAAAACGTCGCATTTAATATAATAAAAATATACGAAATATATATTTAATAACGTTAAATCGAGTCTCTTTTAATCTGCTGAGATAATCTCGCTTCTCCTTTTATTGTACCCCTCATATAATTTTCAAATAGAAGATAAGTCTGTTGACTAATTAAAATAATAGTAAACATTAATTTATTATATTTAAATGTTTTAATAAGTAGGTTATCGGAATTGTTCCACGTAGGCACAAAGAGGAATAAAAATTCAACATAAACCCTTGCTCGTCGATGACTAACTCATTGATTGGCCATATTTTTATTCGAAATTCCGCGAAAATAAACGAGTTTGTTTTAAATTAAAGTTGGGGAGAAAATGCACCGTAATTATTCTTTTTTTAATAACATATCTTCAAGAATGCATTCGATTATTTAAATGGAACATCTGCTGGCATAATAAAAAAAGTCGTTGACAATGGCGAGCCGAAATGGTTTTTGGTGAAATGCCAGGTGGTTTTCTTTGCGTTATTCATCTCTTTTATTCATTGTTAAACTTTGTTTTTCCTCGATTACAACTAAACAATAAACGCATTAAATCGATATGAAGGTTTGAAAAATTCATGTACAACTATGTCACATAAAACTTTTAATATTTTTTTACCTCCAATAAAAGTATTAATATGTTTGAATAGAGTATTTTTAACTATCATTACGTTGAATTACATGTTTAAATGATATGTAATTACGCGCATTATTTTTCTTTTATTATGTGGAATGTTCTTTTTTTGTTATTTAGTTTTGTACCCGTTCCCAACTGAACATAATTTGTATACTTATACAGAAAGTATTATTCATTTAACTTTCTAGTGGGCATTTGTGACGCAATTTGGGTTTCGTTTAATTAAATTAATTTGAATTTAAATTTAAATTCCTCCTACCTTTCGTGCAAACAATTTCTTATCCCTCGATAAATTCTAACGCTTAATTAATTCAAAAATTTCCCAATATTTATGCATAAACACAGAAAAATATCGTATTAGTAAATAACTAATATTTGTTTAAATAATTAGTATGTACCTACGTGTAGATATTTTTTTCTCAAACGAAAATTGCGCAAGTTTCCTTCGAATAATTTGTTTATAAATATATTAAATTTTATTAATGCACGAAACAATTATAACATTCTAGATACTATTATTTATTTATAATAAAATACTATTTAATAATTTAAAAACAACAATTACACAAAACGAGATAAGAAAAAACGATACCATTATCTAAATTATATCACTATGTATGCTCGCATTATTATGACCACACTAAAGTCCATTGTCTTTTAGAATATACAAATAAAAAATAATATCAATATAAAAGACGCATTTAATCGAATTTTTTCATTTCGAAATTATTTCTGCCGCATTTTCACAATTATCCGAGTACGTACCTGTCGAGTAATTATAAATAAAAATTATAAATTCCTGCGCATCTGGCCCGTTTGTTTGGCGTAAATTCAATTATGATGCACACACTTCGGGGGTCATGGAACCCGAAGCGAAGAAATCTAAAAAAGAAACGAAAATAAAACGAGAAGAAAAAATAAAAAAAAAAAAGGAGAAGGACCTTATTCAGACAATATATATAAATGCGAATTGCAGATGTCTGCAATTAATAACGTTTCAGCGATGCCGAGAAAAATATCCCGGGCGATAAAATCTAAATTTACGAATGTAAAAAAATACATATCGAGAAGAATGGCTCGTTTTCTTCTCCGCCATATTAATAATACTTTTATTTTCTCCTTTTTTTGTTTTTAATAAGCTCGCATTAATTTCGCGTTTTATTGACCAGAACAATGCCATTCCGGCGACCCACAAGGTAACACATTTCATTAATTTGTACCTATTATTGTCACACTAGTACTAGTAGCATTAAGTTTATGTAATACTAGGGATGATGCACTAAAATAGCACAATTTTTATAATCCATAAATTACCATTGAGGTTCTAACACTAGTAACGCTTGTACTAACACGACTTTTAAACAATAAAGCAACAATGTAGAGCACTATTATAGTCCTAGCACCAGTACTAGGACTAATCATTCTGTGTTGAAATACAACGTGGAATGCGGGGCATTAAAGCAAGTCTCCGAATGATATAATTGCAACAGTGTAACATTATCGGAGTACTAAAAAAATATATATATAGTAAAGGGGATTTATTATTCCCGACGCCGAAGCTGTGCAATATAAACGCGGTTACGGAATAACATTAAAACTGTTTAATATACCGCATAAAGTAAATCGTGTCGCTACGCTCCGACGAACTATTTCTACTGGCTGTTGTGGCTGTACAGTCGGAGGCTCTTTTAATGGTAATGACGATAACGTCCTGTCGTTTATCTTAAAAAAAAACTAGTACTAACACTGTAGTAATTAGCGCGATTATTATCAATTTAAATCCCCTAAAGTTCTATTTCTACTATACTTTTTCGAATCGTTCAATGAATAAATGTACTTACTATATCTAATCAATCGGCATGAATGTAATATAATCATCAATGGCGCGGTAAATGGAGCAATCAACCAAAAAATAATCGTTTAATAGGTTAACATTATCCGGACATTAACCGAACGATTCGGGTTTTGAATTTTTCATCGAATCGGGCCGGTTAATTTATAAAATAAATCCGCCGCGATGCGAAAGCTGCTTGATGCATAATCTAGAATGCTTGGTGAACGGTGAAAGCGCGCTAAAGTGGACAGAGAGCGGAGAGAAAGATCTCGGTTGGCCGGGTCAGTGTCGGCATTTGTCTGGCACCGCCGTCTAGATCAAAGTTCGGGATTTCTCTCTCTGTGTGTGTATGTGTGTGGGGAGTTTTGTTTTGTCACCGTTTATCGAGCTTTGCGCTTTGTAGATTACGCTCTTCGTTCGGATAAACGTCACTGTGACGTGCTTGAGGGAAATGTTGATTCGTTGACAGTTTATGTCAAATGTCACATTGACTCTCATGTCGGAATTTTACCGTAAATATTGGTAGTACTGATTTGGTGAAAGTTTATGTCAAACGTCATATTGATTCGCATGTCAAAATTTTAGGGATATTATTGGTAGTACTGGAATGTACTCCAAATATTTTATAAATCGAAACAAAAAAATCGAATCGTCATTTGTTCAAATTGAAATTTCTGTGGTACTTAGGGGAACCGGTTCTTTAGGGTCGATTTATGGGTACCCGGGAACCGAAGAAAAATATAACTATAAAACAATCAACTGTCTAGCGTTTTTGGAGACAGGTAAAATTTTTATGTTATAGTTCGAAATTTGACTTTAATGGCTTTAATAACTATCATTTCGACCGTCGTTATAAAGCATCTGACGGGTTTATATATTTTTTTTTTCGATATATAAGCTGCATAGAATGGGATACCACAAAACACCTACTGATATATTTTTGGTCGTAAATAGTTTTACCCCATTATAAATTCGATATTTTTACCACAGAAATTCTTAAGAGTAACTTTTCATGATGACAAAACTCTCAACATTGTTATTTGATGATGATTTTAATACCTTATCTTATTGCAAATTCGTTATTTTTGCCATACTGATTCTTAAGAGTAACTTTTGATGATGACAAAACTCTTTTCAACATTGTTAATTGCGATGATGATAAATACTTTTAATACACTATTGCAAATTCGTTATTTTAACCATATACAAA